GCTCTGGGCTTCCCTGGGGGGGGGGGGGGAGACCCTTGGCTGCAGGCGCTTTCGCATTCCCAAAGCCACGCTTCAGTTCTGCCCTTTTATGGCTCCGGGAAATCTCCCTCTGCTGCCGAGTGCCCTGGCCCTTAAGAACATCAGGACCAGGCCAGGGAGGGTCCCTCCGGTCCAGCCTCCCCTCTCACACAGGGGCCAACCAGTTCCCCTGGAGGGCCAGCAACAGGGCAGAGAGGCCGAGGCCTTCCCCTGAGAAGGACACCAGAAGAGCCCTGCTGGGTCTGACCAGGGAGGGTCCCTCTAGTCCAGCCTCCCGTCTCACACTGTGGCCAGCCAGTCCCTCTGGAGGGCCAGCAACAGGGCAGAGAGGCCGAGGCCTTCCCCTCATCAGAGCACTGAGGGTCCAACCCAGTCCAGCCTCCCGTCTCACACAGGGGCCAACAAGATCCTCTGGAGGGCCAGCAAAAGGGCAGAGGCCAAGGCCTTACCCAAGGTTGCCTCCTGACCCTGAGATTCAGAGGTTGACTGCCTCTGAGCATGGAGTTTCGCTATAAAAACATAAGAAGAGCCCTGCTGGGTCAGACCAGTGAGGGTCCATCTAGTCCAGCCTCCCGTCTCACACAGGGGCCAGCCAGTTCCTCTGGAGGGCCAACAACAGGGCAGAGAGGCCGAGGCCTTCCCCTAATAAGAACCCCAGAAGAGCCCTGCTGGGTCAGACCAGGGAGGGTCCATCCAGTCCAGCCTCCCGTCTCACACAGGGGCCAGCCAGTCCCTCTGGAGGGCCAGCAACAGGGCAGAGAGGCCGAGGCCTTCCCCTAATAAGAACCCCAGAAGAGCCCTGCTGGGTCAGACCAGGGAGGGTCCATCCAGTCCAGCCTCCCGTCTCACACAGGGGCCAGCCAGTTCCTCTGGAGGGCCCACAAACAGGGCATGGAGGCCGAGGCCTTCCCCTGGCCTCCTGCCTCTGGGACTGAGAGGCTGAGACCCCGACCCCACCAGTCCTGCATGCCCAGAAGCTCTGCCTGCCCCCCCCCAGATCACTCACGTCAGCGGCTGCCAGCGAACTGCCAGGGAAGGCCGGGGCGGTGGGGCCAAGGTGGGGGGAGGCCGGGAGTGTTCGCAGCGAGGGCCCACGAAGCCAGGGCGGCAGGAGCACTGCTGGGGGGCTTGGCACTGGCCGCCATTCCGGCAGCGAGGGGTGCAAAGCGCTGGGGGAGAGAAGCACAGCGGAGACGGTCAGTTGGTGCCGCCAGCCCCACTCCCCCTTCCGTCCACACGCGACTACGCATCCCCCCCCCCTTACGCCCAACCCCCTTCTCGGAGGTCTGCTCCCCACATCTCTTTTGCCTACGGGAAAGCAGGTGGGGACAGGGGCAGCCTGCAGTCGGTCCCTGCCAGTGTTCCCTCTAAGCTGAGTTAGTGTGAGCTAGTTCACAGTTTTTAGCCTCCGGCTCACACATTTTTGTCTTGGCTGAGGACGGATGGGGCTCCAGAGCAAACTGATTAGTGCAGTAGCCAAATTGCTTGCTTACAGCTTTCATGCCAGTTGCTCACAGAGTAGAATTTTTGCTCACAAGACTCCACAGCTTAGAGGGAGCCTTGGTCCCTGCCTGCTTCTCTGGGGGGCAACTTAAAGCAGCCCCCCCCAGCCAAGAGATTCCTGGCTGTGACTGCCACCTGCTGGCCACGAGCAGAACTGCAAGAGACTTAGGTGGGTCACCAATTTGGTTTGAAGCAGCGGAACAAAGTTCAAATCAAGCGGCACCTTTGAGACCAACAATGTTTTATTCAAGGTGTAAGCTTGTTGTGTGCAAAACACTCTTCTTCAGACAAAACTGGAATACAAATATATTTTTGTTTTTTCTGAAGAAGAGCGTTTTGCACACGAAAGCTTACACTTTGAATAAAACTTTGTTGGTCTCCAAGGTGTCAAACTTTGTTCTGCAACAGACTT